GTGTGTGTGTGTCTTCTAAACCCTGGAGAGCAAATAAGCACATTCAGAGCCCCCAGGAGTGATAGACCATCAGCTTCCTCTCACCCCACTGGCTTGGGACTGTTCTAACCATAGTTCTGTTGTTCATAATGTTAGTCAAATATGGATGCATTTATCCTGTTCTATAATCCTCATCTTTCAAACGTCCAGTGCTCTGCCTTCACCTTTGGAAGCTCACTTCTCGGTTTTATTTTCTGACCGTGCTGGAAGCAGGAGCACCTTTAAGGGGAAAGACAGTCACTTGGAATGAACATCGTCTCGCTTGTCCCTCACTAGCCTAGGAGGTTTTACAGCCCCTTTTTGAGAAGAGAAGAGGGTGTTGTTTGGCCAGAGTTGGAAAGCATTCCTTTAAAACCCTTTCTGTTTTCTTCTCCTCCCAGTTGAACTTGAATCTCAGCCTTGCTAAGTGCCAGGATCTCAGAGCTGGAAGGCTCACGGGAGATTACACCTGGGTCCCAAACCCCCGGCCTCACAGGAGGAGGTGGCAGGAAAACCATGGGAGCCTGTGATGTCAGGATGGTTTGCTAGAGCGTATTTCTTATCCAGATAGTATTTGGAAAAGCAAGAATTTTGGCAAAGCACCTGAGCTGCCCGTTCCTGGGATGTGGTTCCTGAGCCAGAAGGAAGTGCCTCTCAGAAGCCCCTTGCCAAAGGACATTATGCTGGTTCAATAACTATATCAGTGAGGAAGTGACACGCGTAAGGTTTAGTGTAGAGCTGGAGTCTGTCACGTCAGCTAGAGAGGTAAGGTGCACAGAGCTGCTTTAAAAATACTGCCTGAAGGCCCGGTAGAAGGTGTCAAAGGACATGGGCTGCATCTGGATGTCCACAGGATCTCAGCTGTTGAGCTCAGCCTTTAAAAATACCTTTGAACCCTCCTCCCTTTCAAAGAAGTAGACACCTCACCGTTTTGGGGGGGCCTGCAGCATGGGTCCTTCTCTGGGGGAGAGACAGTTTTACCTGCTCTCCACAGAAAGAGCCACAGCCCCCAGTGCCAAGGCTGGCCAGATCTGAGCTCCTGGGGGCAAAGAGGTGACTGGGTGGAGGCCGAGTGTCTGGCTTCGAACCACCTGCCCCAGCTCTTGACCTTGGAAGTTTTCCCCTTCCCTTGTCCATCTCTTGAGAGTGCCTAGAGGCTCAGGGCTATTGAGCGGGGAATGATCTATTTTAAAGTCTCCAAATCATTTTTTATGAGAACACATACAAATTCCTGCTCAACATCTACCCTGTGCTCATTGACCGTTTTTTTTTTCTTTCATGTTTTCCCAAGAGGTGACAACTTGGCGATACTCAGGGCTGCCTCTCTTCTGATTCAAATCTTGGAAATCCACAACCCTCCAAAGCCCCAGGGCTGATCTTTTATGCTCCCCACATTCAGTGTAGAATTGTCCCTCAGTGTCCTTGGGGTTTGGTTCCAGGACCCCGACAGATACCAAAATCCATGGATGCTCAAGTCCCTTTTACAAAATGAAGTAGCAGTAATTAGGTGGGTAGACTTGCTAAGCTGGCAGATTTGAACGAAGTCCATTACTTTTCTAGTAAGAGCTCAGAATGAGGCTAGTTCCCACCAGAGCCAACTGTCCAGCCTCCCCCTCCCACCCCACTACCTCGGGGCAGAGTGTAAAGGAAGAGAAGGAACAGAGCAAAGTGGACGAGGATGGGAACTTAAGACCCGTTGTGCTTGCTAGGATGGCGGCCCGTACACCCTGTAAGTCATTCAATACCCTTCATCACAGCAAACCATCTGGAACAGGCCTGGGCAATGCAGTTCTGCTCATAGCTGTACTCTAAACAGAATGTTCAGTATATTCTGGCACTGTTTTGCTGTTTATTTGAGTGCTAATCATTATTCAGAAATGTTTAAGTGCTTCATTCTTATTCCTGAGATAACCCTGGCTTAATTTTCTGTTTAAAAACAAAAACATAAAGTACTCTGCTGCCTTGTTTAATTTGATTGCTGAGAAAGTTCTACTTTGGCATAAGCCTGTGTTGATTCTGGGAGGAATCCCATTCAAGAAGACACATCATTATCAGTGATAACTTAGGAAGTTGCAGTTATTCACGTCCATACGCTACAACCATGATTATGTTGAACCTGCAGTTTAGCATCCTGCTTTTTTACTTAACGTTGTGTGTCCTAAGTGTTGTCTGTAGTGCTACAGAATCAGGATAATTTCCATGGCTGCATCATAATCCATTGAATGGAAATATCCCAGTGTGCTTCTCTGTGCCCCTGTATTTACATTTTCCCATAATTGTAAAGAGCTCTGAGCAGGGTATGTTCTAGATTTCCCCATAGTTTTGTATTATTTCCTGAAGATGGACTGTCAGGGGTGTCATATAAAGAGGATGAATGTGTTTAGGCCAGGCCTCCTCGAACTTCAGGATGCACACATCTCATTGTGGATCTTGTGAAATGCGGGTTCTAACTCAGTGGGTCCAGGGCGGACCTGAGGTTCTGTGTGTGTGACAAGCTCGCTGATTCCCAGGCTGCTGCTCAGGATGAGGCTCAGTCAGTCTCTTAAAGTCCTTGGATTCCTGGCATTAGACCCATTCCACCAAATCACTGTGTGGGCTGGTTACCCAGGAGCTCTGCCCGTCAGGATTGTGTTCTCATCAAGAGGAAAGTTTCGAATAGGTTGGAAGCCAGAGAAGGTGGGAACTGTAGCCCCTGCCTTCAACAAAAGCATTTAAACTTGCTCCTGGCTGTGTTAGAATCACCTGGGGAGTACACACACACACATGCACACACACACACACACCACCAGGGTCCACTCCAGACCGGTGCAAGCAGAAAGCTGACAATGAGACCTGACTACCAGTATTTCTGAAAACTTCCTAGGTTTTAAAGGTGACTCCGTGTGTGGCCAGGGTTGAGGACCGTTGTTCTAAGCCCGCAGAAGACCCACCTTAAATCTCACCGAGTTCAAGTATGTTTTAAACCTGACAATGAAAAGCTTGTGGTTTACACACTACACGGGACTCCATACTTTTGACAATGGATTTAAGCACAGCCATGAGTTGTCTTTGCAATTCTAAAAATTAATAACCATCATTTCTAAGAGAGAATAAGGAATTTGTCATCACTGGCTTTTCTTTTTTTTTCTTTTTTTTAAACATTTTTTATTGATTTATAATCATTTTACAATGTTGTGTCAAATTCTAGTGTTCAGCACAATTTTTCAGTCATTCATGGACATATACACACTCATTGTCACATTTTTTTCTCTGTGAGTTATCATAACATTTTGTGTATATTTCCCTGTGCTATACAGTGTAATCTTGTTTATCTATTCTACAATTTTGAAATCCCAGTCTATCCCTTCCCCCTTCACCCCCCTGGTAACCACAAGTCTGTATTCTCTGTCTGTGAGTCTATTTCTGTCCTGTATTTATGCTTTGTTTTTGTTTGTTTGTTTGTTTTTGTTTTTGTTTTTTAGATTCCACATATCAGTGAAATCATATGGCATTTTTCTTTCTCTTTCTGGCTTACTTCACTTAGAATGACATTCTCCAGGAGCATCACTGGCTTTTCCGTTAAACTCATTCCTCCACAGCATTTGCTGGTCCCACCTTAGTGAGTGTCTCCACGCCAAAAATCACGTACTTTCCCCAACCCTTGAAATCGAAGTCACCGTCACAGTCATTTGTTCCACGTGCCCTTTTTTTTCTTAGAAAAGAACTCAACACATAGAATGCAACACATTGTAGTAAAACTATTAGCTTGGCCATGTCCTTCAAACCGACCGTGAGTCCCTTGAGACCAGAGACAGCCTCTGATGCATCTTTTTATTCCCTTCAACCTAGAACTGTGCCTGTCCAGCACAGAGTACATACCCATTAAATCACTGTTTGAATGAATGAATGAGTGAATGAAAGAAATAGTATAGATTTTGATCTCATGTAAGCCTGGAAGGTCGTTCTCATTGTGGAAAGATTCATCCCAGCGTGGTTCTAGTGAGAGGACAGATTGTCTGGATGGTGCCTGGTGCCAAAGTGGCCTTGGCCCCTGGGGGTGTGCAGGACGGCAGACAGGATGTTCAGGATGCCCGTTGTCCCTGTCGCTTACCACCTGCTAGGGTAACACCTGCGGTTTCTCTTCTGCAGTTGCCTTTTCAGGCCTTGGCTTCACAACGTTCTACTTGGCTGGCAAGCTGCACTGCTTCACTGAGAGCGGGCGGGGGAAGAGCTGGCGGCTCTGTGCTGCCATCCTGCCCCTGTACTGCGCCATGATGATCGCCCTGTCCCGCATGTGCGACTACAAGCATCACTGGCAAGGTGAGTTCCTGCCCGGGGGCCACCTGGTCCTCACACCGTCTGCCACTCTCCTGCAGGGAAGGGGAGACATGCACCTATTTGGGGAGAACGGAGTGCCCACTGTGAGAAACCGGAGTAGGCTGAAATGACAGAGCAGACACTATGTGAAAGAAAATATACCTGTTCAGGTGAGCGCTGACCTTCACACTGCTCTTGCTGGACATGCCCAAGGGGACCACTCCGTCCTGCCAGGATGGCGGGCCCTCTGTCGTAGACTCTGATAAGACTTCCCTGCTGGGTCCCTTGCCTCCATCCTCAGACTTGGTGCCAAGTGGTTGTTGGCTCCTTTCACATCTCACATCCGTCCCACAAAGACATGTTTCTCACCACGGATGCTCTTCCAAAGGAGATGTCCGGCCCAGGAATGGATGCCAGCAGCCACTGCAGGGCTGGAGTGAAGCTCACCTGTATGTATCTGTGCGAAGTCAGGATGACGCAAGCAAGTGAGGGGCTTGTTCCTGGAATAAAACTAAACCATGCCGTGTTCCTCTGCAGCTCACAGCCTGCCTGAACCTGCCACAGCAAAAAGGGAGCAGAGACAGAGGCTATGTCCACAGGGCATGTGGCCTCTGGGAGCGCAGGGCCTAGGGTTGTGTTTCTCAAAAGTAGATCCTCAGACCACCTTGGTCAGGCCAATCGAAGCTAGGAGCTGGACCCTTGGGGGCAGGTCTAGAGCAGTGGGCAGGACTCTGAATTGTTAACAAGTCAATCCGCTCATTCTGATGAAGTCTGGGAAGCATCGTGGAGAGCTCTCAGCAAACACCCTGAGCTAAATGTGCCTAAATCCTGCTTCCCAGGACGAAAGGCCTTCCTCAGCTGGTCTGTGGCTGCATCTCCTCTTCCTCTCCTGCCCTTCTGCTGTCACCAGGCACCACTCCCCTCCTCCCCGTTCTCTGTCTCTGCAGCCAGCTGCCTGTGGGACCACCCTCTTCTCACCTCTTTCCTGATGTTTGGTCCAGTGGTAGTGAGGCAACAGTTGAGGCCAGAGGCAAGAGGGACTCCTAGCTGGGGGCGCTCTCTCCCCATCTTCTCCTGGAGCCTCCTGCTCCTCCCAGCACTTCCTCAGCATCTCCTGTTCCTTCCCTGGCTTCAACTCCACCCTCTGCCATCCTGGAACTCACACTCTGGGTGTCATGAGCCTTTAGCAGCAGCCTCAGCGTGGGGGTGGGTGAAGGGTACAGGGGAAAGAGGGCTGATGCATGGTCTGGACAGGTGGCGGCAGCAAGCACTGATGGGGTCTTGAGGCCCGCCTGACGGGGGGGGGGGTAGTAGAGGCCCATCAGGCCGGACCCTGAGCCCTCCCTTGTTCTCTGCTCCATCCAGTGATTTGGTTGAAGTTCTGGATAATCTGAAGCTATTTCATGAGAGGGGGGAATTGCAGGGAGGGAACTGCTGAGCCAGGACCACAAGGGCGTGGATACCCACCGCACCCTTGGAGCTAGGAGTATTTTCGAGAAGACTCAGTTGCCTGTGTGCTTAGAGCACTTCCCCAGGAGGGCTGTTATGTGCTGGATGGCATTTTATGGGCTGCTTCTCACATATCCCTTGCAAACTGTACTTTCTTCTTCTGAACATGGGAACAATAATCCCCCAGTATTTCCCAGAGCTCTTTCACAGACTGAATGAAATAACGGATCTGAGTGGACTTTGTAAATGAAAACGTATCGCGCAACTGCAAACCGGTATTGTTGCTTCATGCATCATTTGTAAAGAACGATGTGTTGTGTTTCCCAAACCACTGACTGAGAGGCGGACATGCTTTGGAACATGGTCTGTTTGTAAGTAATGGATCCCTGGTTTCCACTTTGCTTCGGCCACTTTGGATCTGAGAAAGCATTAAGGGTTTCAGAGTTGAAGAGATTTTGGCTTTATCTTGGAAGAGAGTAAGAACCTTTGTGTGTTGATCTTGTCCTGAAAACTAAGACGTGAGGTTGGCCTCGCTTAAATACTCTTGGTGCCAGCCAGTTTTGTAGCTCATCACTGAGCTGTGGCTGGTGCATCGTGGAAGAATGAAGGTTCACAGTTGTTGGCTTCGGGGTTACGATGCAGCGCGTGCATTCAAGGCCCGCTGGCAACGGGACTTCAGCCCCATCCTGTGCAAGTGGCACAGAAAGGAACTTGGAGCAGTGGAGGGAGGATATGAATGTTCTGTGGGCCGGTGGGGAAAGCAGAGAAAGAGAATGTATGTTCAGTGACGTGTAGGGCCGTACTTGGAGGGCAAACCAAAATCACATCATGGTAGACTCCTGTGGCCCAGACTGAATGTGCATCAGTTGGAACAGGTCACAGATGTGGCCCAAGTACCCATTCAGCTGTGCCAGCATCAGCTCAGTTTGTGCCCCGGGGTCAGCCAGGAGAGGAAGGTGCCTTTCCTTGGATCCTCTAATGGGCTCTGAGTCAGGCGGCACTTTAACCCAAATTCCTCTTGATGAGGCCATCTGTCACTGTGTGTACCAGTGGTCCCAGTAGGGGCAACTGAACCTCCCAGGGGAATTCAGTAATGCCTGGAGACATCTTTTTGGTTTTCATCAGTCTGATTGCCACTGGCATCTAGTGAGTTAGAGGCCAGGGATGCTATTAACATCCTACAATGTACCAGGTAGCACCTCCCCCACAATGAAGACTTATGCAGCCTCAAATGTTGAGGTTGAGGAACCCTGACCTATGCCACACTCAGCCCCATCTTTATTCCACTCATTACATGTTAAGCAGCAATGTTCAATGAGTGTAAAATTTTGCTCATTCAATACTCAGTTATCAAGGGAGTCATCAAGGAGGCTGCCAAGGTTTCCAGCTTGGAGAAGGGGACGGATGGCGAGACCTTGGACTGCTGTATAGGTGGCGAGGCAGGATGTCTGTCGGAGATGAATGACTTGTTGGTTTTCTTTGGTGGACTGAGCTGCCCGGTGACCGTGGGCAGGGACCATCCATCATAATGAGAATTCACGTGGAGCCCCAGAGGCAGCAGCGAAACCCAAGTCCCTCTCATTATAGACTTTAGCTAACAACATTGGTATTATGAGATTTTTATGACTCCATTTCAGTTTTGATTTAAGCAACTGTGCCCAATGTGGAAGTATATCTAATTACTCGATTACATAATCATATCCAGTAAATAGCCCATAATCTCAGATGCCTTGCCCTGTTCAGTGTCATGGTGGTTTCCTGTAGTCGACACCCTTCTGGTCTTTTCTGCTTTCTGAATTCCACTCCAAATACACAAGTCTGTCGTTTGATTAAGTGAGGAAAATGAAGGGCACAGGCTACGGTCTGGAGGGGCAGTGAAGCATTTGGCAGGATTTCTTCAGAAATAAACACCTCTGGGTGCATAATACACCTGTGTGTGGCTGAGGTTCTCCATGTCTTTGTGACATGCTGGCTTTCGGGTCAGACGGAAGCTAGAGAGTTCCATGGGTGATGCCAACTGCAAAGCCAGCGCTTCACAAAGACGCTTACCTTCGTGATAAACTATATGTTTTCAGTATTAAAACTTGTGGAATTCCCCGCTGGGGAGAACATCTCTAGAGAAAATGCGCAGAAAGAGCAGAGCATCTCATGAACCCTCTTCTGCCTTGATTCATAGTCTCGTGTGTTTATGGTTTCCGTCAGTGGCGAGTTAGAGCTGGAAGTAGCAGCAGCGTGTTGTTGTCTCCATGAAGGGATGAGATAACGAGCTCCCTCTGCCCTCAGATCCCTGTATCTGGACCCAGGCTTTCCTTATATGACTCCGACTTATGGGTAAACTTCTAACCAACACTGGTTTCTCTAATGATAGGTCATTTTAAGCAGCCCCGGGTGCCTTATGTAGTGTTTCATCATAAGAAAGAGCATCTCCCTCTGACTGTTATCCAGAAAAATGGGTCTCTAGGGAGGAAGCAGGTTGTTTGTTTCCACCCAGCGGGAGGCTGGGAAGCACCCGTCCCAGTCACAGACGCCGTGTTTGGCTGGGCTGAAATGTTCAAGATGGCACCACTCCGTCCTGGTTCCCCTGACTGGGCTGCGAAGGGGCTGTGACGGGAAAGGAATTTAGTTTTCAGGCTCCAGGAGATTGTCAACCCTGCAGGTGGGGTGGTTAGGGACGGTGGCACTGCGTCTGACTTTCCATGAGCCACACTGAAAAGCCAGGCAGAGGCTGCTCCCTCCCCGCCTCTTCCTGACTCAGCTCCCTACCCCCAAGCACACAGCCAGTTCAGCGGCACACGCTGTTCACCAGGCCTCCCTGAGGCCATCAGAAGCAATTTCTAGATTTTCTAAACGAAGTGACTGAAAAGAAGCCCTTAGAACTACATTATTGTTCCCACCAGAAGCTCACCAGCCTTACACAGAACAAAAATACTAAGGTTCTCCCTCTGATAGCCTCTGTCCTGAGTGAACTGGCCTCCCCTCGCCTTCCCTCCACGGTCGGCTGCCCGGTGTGCTGGGCTCTGCATTCACGTGTATCGTCTGCTGCCAAGTGCTGCTCGGGGTCTGGGAACCTCTGAGCCTTGACTGCCTGTGAGGCCGCCCATCTCTGCCTTCATCCCCAGGGCATCCCTGTGGGAGGGCTGGAGCCGTCTGCAGCCCCAGGTCACCCCCTCCATCAGAACCCTCTGGACAGGGAGCTTTGGGGCCTCAAGAGAGGCTTTCTCAGCCAGGCTCGCCACCCTCTGCCCTCTGCCCTCTGCCCTGGCCTTTCCCCGTGGCTTAGCCCCCAGGGAAGATGGGCGTTGGCTGCTCCCCAGTCTCACTGACAACCTTGCTTCATTTCACTCCAGGGACTTCTTCTCCTCTCTGCTTTCTGTGGTTTTCTATGGTTTCTCCTATTGGCTCTACCTTCAAATATTTCCAGAATCCAACTTCCTCTTCCTGCTCTAGTCCAAACCACCATCACCTGTTCCCTGGATTATTGCCGAAGCCTCACTGCCAGTCTCCCTCCTTCCCCCTTTTTCCTCTCACACTGCAGCCAGAATGAGCCTTTAAGG